CCCCCCCCCCCCATCCTTTTTCTGAAAAAAACAGCTTTTCAGAATTCTTTGTGGCAAGCCTCAGTTGGTTATCACAAACTTTTTTTTCCTCCTGGCTGGTATGTGCATCTCCTGCTGAATTCCAGAAATCAGTTGTAAATCTGTTTTATTCCAGCAAGCCTTTGGCCCCACCTGATTGATTGATTGATTGACTGAGGGCATCCTTGCAGGAAGAGAGTTCAAGAGTTTGTGTTTTGTGCATGCATGCTTATGAAGGAAGTGACTTCAGATTAGCATTCTTTTAGACAAAGAACAGGCAGAGTAATAGACAAAAAGGGCAGACGGAGTAAATCCTTAATTCTCTATCTACATCCTACTGCCCCTTGTGGCCAGTAGGTCATGAGATGCTGAAGAGTCAGTGCTACTAGATTTGTATCTCCAACAACAGTAACCACTATGAATATCCTTATAGTTTGAAAGAAAATACCAATGTTTATAGGTTTTGCTTACATTCTGTTAGAAATCTCCTTGGTTCGTTCATCCTTCCAAAGAAATCTTGCCATTTCTTTTTGTTTTCTTTTGTTCTGGAACAGCTGGAATCTTCAGGGCGCATTCTACAGATTGCCAAGGCCTTAAAAGAAGATGCTGGCAGATACACCTGTATAGCAACAAATGCAGCTGGGGAAGTCCAGCAATTCATTCGTCTGCACGTATATGGTAATGACTTCTCCTTGGCAGTTTAACATAGCCTGTTGATTGCTAGTTACATCCATCATGCTAGGTGCTCAATTTCCTGCTCATTTTTAGTATATTTAACAAGAGCTGGTAATTTTTTTCAAGCATTGGATGCCATAGCACAATCTTGTCTGATGGCCTAGGGTCTTTCCCCAGCCAGTTATAAAAAATACCTTGAAATATCTCAAGAGCATCAAAGCTCAGAAATTTTTAGTGATTCAAGTCCAAGTCAAGAAAATGTTGAGATGTATTACCTTTATTTTTAATTTATATCATTTAAATCCTAACTTACAGCCCATAGGGCATTCAAAGCTATATATACACATATATTATACACGTACACACCCTTATAGTAAAATCTGATATTCAAAATGTTAAAATCTCTATTAAGGCTAATTCCAGTTAAAAAGTGTGGCTGAAGAGAAATGGTTTGAGTCTTTTCCTGAAATCTAGCTTGCAATTTTCATCCAAGAGTTTAGGAGACCTGGCATGAGAAAGGACATGGGTATTCTGGAATCTTATAGGGAAAGATGGGTACCAGAACACTTTTATAATCCCAAGGAGGGAAAGAATCAGTATATTGATTGTTCACAGTCTTATGATTAAAAGTATAATGTATAAGCACTCTGGTCAGCATATAGCCTTTGATGCTTTAGTATTGACAGTATTTTTTTTAAGTCAGCTGGTATTGGGTAATCCACTAAAGTAGAATGTGCTTACTGTAAGTAGAAGATGATTTTACTTTTAAACATTTGTCAATTAGCTAAGCCTTAGTTAGCTCTATCAGCTACTTATGGATATCTTCTTTAGTTTAGAGTTAAGCAAATCTTGCCAGATCCCTTGTCTTTCAGCTCTGTAATTCTTAAATGACTAGGCCAAGATGAGCTTTGCCATCCATCAGAGATGTTATGATTCTGAAGTACAAAACCAGGCATTGTGAGACGCAAGGCACCACAATTGTAGAAAGATCTCAGAGAGGAAAGGGGACACTACTGCACTGTTATGGCTACTCTGTGATTAGAAACACATTCTCAATCTCTAGGTCATGTCTAGGCTATTCTTTGAGGCCCATTAATCGTTTATTGTAGATTGTATGTATGGACATACACCTATGTTGGAAACTTGTGAACTAAGTACAGAGAAAGCCTGAGTATTATATGTCTAAATAAAAGAGGCCATAATTTTCTTCTCTTTTTCAGAGCCACCCAGTCTGAAGGATGCAGGAATGATAAGAAATGAGACTGTTATTGTGAACAATCCAATACAACTAGAGTGCAGAGTGTCTGGAAATCCTGTGCCAGGTATATATACTCATAGCAATTCTATCTCCTCTCATAATGAAAATAGGTCAGGGGAGGAAACCTGCAGCAATTTTCCATATCTTGTCCTTTCACTGAACTCTAAATAAATAAAATAGCTCATCCCTTTCTTGCAAACGATCTTAAGTTTGTAATTTGTTGCAGTGCAACCTCTGATAGTGCTTAATTGAACTATTGTAGATATGCATGCTTTTCTTGTCAAGTAAAAGTGCTGGATTTGTTTGGAATCTAGCTTGTTAATTCCAGGGAAATATATGGATTTAACCGTAATTTTAAAAATCCATATGTTTTTATGGACAAAAGCCACTTTGTAGTGGAAGCTGAAGCATTGGAAAGGGCATGTTAGCTGAAAGAATGTGATAAACAGGAAAACATGGGCTCTCTGAAATGTGCTATTGACTGGCATGTTACCATCATGCATATATGCAGAGGCTACTTTTATTTATTGCTTAAGACTGGGACTCAGTTTAATTCTGTGGCAAGGAAACTTTCAAACTAGCTTTATTACTCAGTATGTGGTATGGCCTGGGCATTTTTACACTATGCAATCTAGTGAAGAAGTTACAGGAGTGAGCCTGAAAGAAAGAAATTGGTTGCTTTTATTGACTGCCTTGTGAGAAGGCATTAAAAAAAAGTTAATTGATATAGCAGAGAATGGTATTGCCTGTGGTGTTTGATCTCTAATGTCTCATCGCCACATACAAGTTATTATTTAATGCTATAAAAGTCTGGTGTTCCCTCTGAAAAATGTCTTCAACTTCCCATCTTTCCTGGGAGAGAAGAGGAAAAGCAGTGTTTTCACCTGACACTTAATAATATCTTGAAACAGCCTTAAATGCTATGGTAACTGGTTATGCTGCCTGTCATATAAATGATACTGCACAGCATCCAAATGAAATAAGAAAATCTCATGAAGAGGAGAGCAAGAATAGGTGGGCCATGAAGAATGCTTTAACAGGCCATATTGTAGGCAATTAATCTCTACCTTGAAATTGTTTGCAACTTGAACATGAAAAAGAATTCATCTTTAATTTTGTCTTCCTCACCATGCCCATGTTTTGTTGTGGAATAAAGAGGAAATACCTTTTAATCCCTCACTTTTCCTAATATTCCTTCTGCTGTAAACTACAACATTTCTGTACCATATCTGGGCATCTGTAAACAAAATAAGTGGTATCTGAATAAAAAGTAACACGAATTTTTCCTTTCAATCATCTCTTACCTAGCTTAGGACCAAATATCTCTTATTTTACTTTGCAGTTATCACATGGTACAAAGATAATCTTCCTCTCACCAATGTGGCTGGCATCACTTTCTTGAACAGAGGGCAAGTTGCCCAAATAGATGCAGCCCAGATCTCTGACACTGGGATTTATAAATGTGTGGTGGCAAATGCAGCAGGAGTGGCTGAATTATTCTACAGTCTTCAGGTCCATGGTAAATACTGCTTCTCATAACAAAGGCAGTTTGGGTAGAAAAGGCTTATCTGCCTTTCATCTGCACATTTCAAGTTTATTGCAGGCATTTAGATACTTGTTAAAATCATTTTTCCATGCAGATTTGAGAAAAGGAAAGAGGTGGGCTTGCAGTATTTGCATAACTCAAAAATGGGAAGGCATTTAATTCTGAAGAGTTTGCTCAATGGGACTGCCATGCAGTTAGGTCTGGAAGGCAGATCTCACTGTCTCTATTTCAGCAAACTGATGCAAATATTTAATTGCTGCAATTGTGGAAATCACATAGCCTACAATAATTCCAGACCCACTCACAGGGCCAGATTTCAAGAAAATGATGGAGATGTAAACCACAGCTTTTTTTGATTTCCACCGTTTTCTTAAAACCTGGCCCTATGACTGACTATGGCTTGTCAATAGAGACTTGAGCAAACCAAACCTTTTGTTCATGTACAACAAGAGGACTTTAAAATTTATGTTGTTCTTCTTGGTTTTGTTGCCAAAGCTCTGTATAAGATTGGGATGGAGACAATCATTTTATAAATTGGCTTCTCTTGGTTACATTATTCAACTTTTTTGTTCTTACTATCCAAACTCCTTCCTTTCCTTTCATGTTTATTGCTTTATAGTACAAAAATATTTATCAATGCTAGCACTAGAATGACATTGATGTGGAAAGTCATTACCTCCCTACAAGAAACAAATACCTGTCCAGGAGTTGGGGACAGTTAATACACCTTAACTCTTTGGATGGGTTCCTGTGTCTCTTTGAAGACAAACCTTGTAAGTCCACTGCTAATATTTGGCATGCTGGCTTGGAAGATCCGCACTCTTACACTGGATTGAACAGACATTCTGTGCAGTTACTTTTAAAAGAATAATAACCAATAAAAACCTGGAGTAGTTCATTTCCCTGAGAACAGTCAGCCTTGCGAGGTAGTCCAGACAAGAAGCACACCCAGAAGTACTAGCTCTACTTGATTGTAAGGTTACGTTAACAGAATCTTGTAATTCTGAAAGTACATCTCTCCCCCATCACCTTTACATCCTAAGAAACTAAGGAGGGTCCTTGTGGAGATGTTTGCTCTGCCCATATTCCCACTGTGGGCTAAGCTGCCTTTTATCTGACCCATTGCCCTGGATGTGGCTCTTTCCCCTGTCTCCAAAAGTCATTCCCACATACTGTTACAGTGCCCCAAGGCAGGACCCAAAACAATTAATTACTCACACATTAATTGGTGGGAAATGTTAAGTCTGTTATGTACTGTTTTTCAACCAGAAAAAGAAAAGGTATGTGGGGTGGAGGGAGCAGAGAAGTAAAGTACAATCCCCTGGAAGGATGCTGTGTTGTACTGTAGTATCTTTTCACAGTGGCAATGTGGCCCTAGAGAGCTTTAGGAATACTCCTGTCATTTCTGTAGCAAATTGAATTCATTTTACAATGGGAAAAATAGAAAGGTGGGGAGAAGACACCTCTCTATGCCTCCACTCTCTAAAATTTAAAGAACTAACAGGTCCACTCTGGAACTTGTCAAAAGATCTTGGCTTTCACAGAATGGGGCTGCAAAGATCCAAGGGTACATCTACCTTTGCAGGCATTTTCATTTGCAAAACTATGGATCAGAACTATACGTCTCCTCAAACAGTTTTTTCTCTCTCTTTTTTCTTTTTTTCTAGTTCAGCCCTCCATTTCAGGGAATAATGAAATGGTAACTGTTGTCGTTAATAATCCAGTGAGGTTGGAATGTGAAGCTCGTGGAATCCCTGCTCCCATTCTGACCTGGCTGAAGGATGGCAGTCCTGTTTCTAGTGTTTCAGATGGACTGCAGGTAATTTCCTAACTCCATTAAAGCAGCTTTGTTTGATGGGATCTATGAATTGGACTCTTTGGTACTCAGGATGCTTTTTTCACTCCTTCCTTGGAAGTATCTACCGGAGCTTTCATGTGGTGCATTAAAGTTAATGTTGCCTGGAAGATAATAGGGAGAGAATCAGAATTTAATCCATTTTAGCATTTGATTAAAGTACAATAAAGTTTACTGATTATAAAGGACTTAAAACATTTCAGATTTACAACTGGTATAGAAAGGTATTTAAATAATAATTAAATAACATAGTCTTTCTGTTTGTGGAAGCATACTTGGAGAAATGTTAATTATGTTGCTGATGCTCATAATTCCCTCCCCTGGAACAAAGTTTTGGCAGCCTCCAATCTGAGCAAATAATATGTCCTGGAATTCTCTGGCTTTGACTGCAATATATGCTGGTGAATAATTTATTCCTTCTTTAAACTACCTTCCACTTCCCCCCTACATTCTTCCTTCCCACTTCCCTTGCCAAGTGCTGTGGAAGCCAGAGGGATCCATCTCCCTCCCTGATGGCCAGCTCATTGCCATAGTAACCTTCACTGCCCCAACTTTCAGGGATGTTGAGTAGAATGAACCGATTCATGCTATACAGCAAGGGGGAAAGGATGATGGCGCCTAGGAGTGGTTGGGAAAAGGATCCTGACCTTCATCAGACAACAACTGGGATTGCAATTGCAAATGAACATGCTATTATGATGAAAGGTATTTACCCACAATTTAGAGAAAGAGTTTCTCTATGTTTAAAATAACCCTATGGTAATCATCAGGCATAGAACCTGTCTGTTTAATTTTGGATAATAAATTATATTCATTAATTAATACTTCAAATTCACCTATAGGAAAAAATTAAAGCAATCCTATCTGTGTTAATCCATGAATAAAAATCCAAAATCCATAGTTGAATAATACTTTGATTAGGACCCATAAAAAAGCGAGCATTAGAATTATTGCTAGAATTAAAATTAGAATTTTCTAGAATTATTCACTAGGCAATACATTACAAAAAGAAGGGAATAGAACAGAAACAAGAAAAAGATAAGCAGTGAAAGTAATGTTAGAAATTTCTGGGATGATTGCAAAAACATCTCACACCAGAAAAGTTGCTATGTGAACAATGAAACTTAATACTCTGTTACACCCAATGTGCCATCTTTTTAATAATTCCACCCTTGTTTTAGATTCTTTCTGGAGGTCGCATCCTGGCACTGACAAGTGCTCAGATCAGTGATACAGGAAGGTACACATGTGTTGCAGTAAACGCAGCAGGAGAAGAACAAAGGGATATTGATCTCAGAGTTTATGGTAAGAATAGAAATAATGTTTATGCCAAGAACTGCACAAGCATTCTTGATGGATACCTTGAGGGTTTACAGCAGCCTTCCCCACCATGCTGTCTTGGAATTTTCCAGAATTGTTGCCTAACACATCTTGATGATCCAAGTTGTGAGGCTTGGTTAGAGATTTCTAATATGATCCATGGCATTTTTAATAATCCATAGATTACAGAATGATCTTCCCAGGGTAGTATCTGGAAGTGATATCCTATGTTTATTTTGATATGGATAATAGGATGTGTTTCATAGGTTACATAGGAAACTGACATAACTTGTCACAGAAAGTCATATTCAAATGAATATTGTGCTTCCTTTGGGACAGCTAGATGTTAATTTAGATGTTAAATCATTACTCTTTGATTACTGAAGAATTGCACTTAAAAATAAGAGCAGAAAATGTTTAGATGTTTGCTTGAATGGTGATGATTCCCGTATTGTCTTGAGACATTTTAGCAGAGCTGTTTCAGACCTACTTTTATAGTACATGCCTATGAAACTCCAACTACAATGCATGAAGAGTAAAGATTTGCAGACATGGATATAGGTAGTTTAATCAAAGAACCACAACTGGCTGTAGCATTCTGTTAATGCACAGATGGTTGTAAGTAGTGGCATGCAAAACAGTTGAAATTTGAAACTCCCTGTTTTGAATTTGAGATGGTGTTCCAACTTTGCTGGAAGTATTCTAATGCTACTCCAACCATTCTGGAACTGTTCCAACTTCCAAACAGCCAGGGACATTTCAAGTTCAGAATACTTCCAGAATGATTGGAACAATGTTAGAATGCTGTCAGTAAGTTTAGAACAAGCCATTGCAACTTAAAACAACACTTTTGAGCTCAAAATGGGGCCCTTTGAACTCTAAACATTTTGCATTTGAAATATTTTATACTCTTATAATTGTAAACACATTCTAAGATGTCTAGAATGTCCCTTTCATAATGCTAATCTGTTTATATGCTTAAATCCAGTATCCTTTGAGTGCATTTTGTTTCATTTGATAATTACAATGCAATTGGGCAAAACAATTTGCTAATAAACATTTCTTTAAGAATATTGACTAATATTTTGTTCCTGAATTGTGGTTAAAAAGAAAATCATGGCTGCTGCTGCTTCCACAAAGGGATTAAGAGAGGTGACATTTATTTTTTCTTATCCATGGAGTCTAGACTTTTCTTTAAATCATTTCTATGTTGTACAATCAGTTTTTCTGTTTAAAGCTTTCAGGACTAAGGAAAATAAGGCAACACTGAGGAATTTTAACAGAAATGCTATTGAGATACATCACACTGAGAAACAGAGCCATTATAATATGCTTTTTCCTAAATTATAAAATATTTGTCTTTAAGACATGGTGCATATGGAGTGGTCCAGTGTTCCCTGTTCATTATTCTATATTTTCTTTAACTCTGGCAGATTCTTTTTCTCTCATTTGGTAATTTTTAGTGGCATTGTTTAGGGCTGACATTATCAGGTTACTGCACAATTGAAAAGGCAAAGGATCTCATGTATTTAAAAAAATCAAGAGCAACAATGGTAACTGAAATTTTAAAACTCTGTTATGATGAAATTAATATATTAAGTAATATATGATTAATAATTTAGTACAAGTGGATTGATACGGAAGCAGCTTCTGTATGGCTTGAATTTATACTATTTTGGAAATATCTAAAGGAAGAACTCATATTGGCATGATGAATTATGCTCCTCTTTACAAGGGAAACCCCTTTCTGTGGGGGTGGTGATTCTGCCATGGGTGGAAATTATTGAGATCATTTAATTCTTTTACACTTGATTCTGGACCATCTTGGAATCCATTCATGTTGGGTAGTTTCCTATACTGCCCTGGTAATGCTGCTAATATTTTTAGGAAAGATTAACTGCTGTAGATTGAGGCATTTAATGCTGGTGTCAAACAAGTGGGAGGCTTTATTTATCTTAGTAAAAAGAGATGAAACTGATTATTAAAGTGTTTGTTCATTCAGTTCCACCTAATATTATGGGAGAGGAACAGAACGTCTCTGTGGCCATGGGGGAACATTTGGAACTCCGCTGCCAAAGTAATGCTATCCCTCCACCCACGCTTCAGTGGCTGAAGGATGGTCAGCTGCTGCAGAAGAAGGTGGGCGTCACCATTACGGAAGGTGGGAGTGTATTGAAGGTAAATATTAAAATACCTCAGATTTCCTTTGTAACTCCTGTTCATGTTTAGGATTCTTGACACTAATAGCTTAAGGGGTTATCCCTTCCATTTCTGAATGTTGTTGAAGCAACTCATTTCTTCAGATGGAGGAAGGAAAAGCTGTGTTGCTTTTGATGGGTCCTCCCAACAGCATCTGAGTTACTTCTCCAAAAGCATATCCAGCATTGGTGGATGGGATCCTGCTTGAACACTGCTGGGCAGTTAGGGTTTGTACCGTGAGCAATCCGCACCAATGATTAGGATTAAAAAGAATTCTGGCATGGATCTTGCTGGGAACAAATTTGGATGAGGGACAAATGTTAGCAGGAACAAAATCTGGCTAGTGTTTGTTCTTCCCCAGGAAAAAAAGAAGACATCTGGGAGTGGAGAAGATCATTTTGCACTTGTTTTCTAAAAGATATAAGAGGACTGGTGTAATTTTCCCAGTTTTAACTGCTGTGCCCTTACAGGAAGGCTGCAACTGGGAGTACAGTTTTGGCCCAAGTGAATAGAAATCTAATGGGCCAGAATATTCATTGTTAGGCTATAAGCAGGCAGACCAAGAAGCAACGTACTGCAAGAGACCTACCTCTGTGGCTGCTTAGTAAAATAGGTTACTCAAACTAAAGGATATATAAAGCCATTGTAACTTAGGAGGGAAAAGTATCAACCTACTTTATTCAGGTTGGAGCTGCTGCCTGGAAGGCTATATAATAATTCTGATATTATCTTTCCTATAGTCATGGTAACATGGCCTACCGAACACTAAAATTTTCCCCATATGCTATGGAGGTAGAAAAAGAATTATTTGCCTAGCATGTTTGTGCCAAAGGGGAGATTCCTGCTACAGACTTCACAAATCATAGATTAATCTCTTAACAATGACATTTCACCAGTTCCCACTTTCCTTCCTTTATTTCCTTCCTGAGATTTATCACCTCAATCCACTTAGACAAAATCTGTTGGCAAATGTAGTCAGAAAAAAGTTTGCTTAGATGTTGAGCCATCACCAGTCCTGCTAAAGCAGTAATGGACAACTTACAGCCCCTGAGTCCCCTTCTCTGGTTTTTGGAGCCCCTCTGTCCAGGATTGTTGAACACTGTTTCTTATTTATTTTAAGGTGAGAAACACATGAGAATTATAGTGTAAGCCACCAAACAGGCATATCAAAGTTAAAAAAGGCTCCCCAACTCTCCTTAAAAGAATCATCCCACTCACACATGTGTTGTGACCGTGCCCACTTCTAACCATCAGCTCTTCCACATATTAAATACAGCCCCAATACCAAAACAGGTTCCCATCCCTGTGCTAAGGCAATGGGTATTAAAGAAAATATTTTATAGCTTGTAAGGTAGAAAATGATGCTTTAAATAAATCTTTCCCACTCAGATAATTACTTCATTTATAGAAATCAAAACTATGTATTGGATGAATGAATAATAATGCACAGTGATGAGTACCAAAATTATTGTCAAAAATACATTTGTTGATTTGTTTCTTGCTAGATTGAACAAGCACAAGTGCAAGACACTGGACGCTATACTTGTGAAGCGACAAACATTGCTGGGAAAATGGAAAAAAACTACAATGTCAATGTATGGGGTAAGGTTTGCAGCCATCAAAAATAAGACTGAAGCATCAATGATAAGGGTACTACTAAAAAATGTGGGTGGATGTTAGAGAAGGGATGGTCCTAAAAGTGTTGCATTTCAAAGTGATATGCTTTTCCAACTGATTCCTTGATAGCTTCAAAACCCCGATGTTCTCTGGTCAAGCTCATCTCTAAGATACGGAGCTAGAAGTATGAAGAATTTCTGATGAAGTTGGCACTAGACTGGGTCTGGGTAAATCTGTTAGAAAACTAGCACTAAATGTTAGGCAGCTCTTCCAGATACGAACAGAAACTTCAACTGGCTGAAGAGTGAAGTGATTCATCTTTTGAAATGATGTTGACCTCTAGTAGTTAACATCTACTTTCACCTTTTGTGTAGCACTGAGTTTTCAAATGATAAAGGTTTGGGTTCATCCTCATGTTCCCTTAACCACAGCAGGAAGATGCCCTGATAACCATTTTTCTAGGGCTTGTCCTTAGACTGCTGCCTTTGCCTCATCCAGAGCTCACTGTGGAGGGAACTTAAATACAGGTTTTAAAGTAGTATTTTCCATCTTCTTCTGACAAAAGGCTTGCCATGTATAGAATCTTCAATGTTTTGTTGCTGATGGGGATGATGATGTAGTCAGGAGCTGAGATCTGCCTGTTGGCTACTTTAGATGCTTTAGGTATGTCCTCTCCCCTCTGGTCTTTGGGCACAGTTTCCCAGGACCATTCTGTTCATGGCAGTAGAAGACTCCAGTTCTTCATCTGTAGCCAACAGTTTGCCTATCCCATAGAACTATCCATGGGTTCAAAGAACTGACAATAAAAAAGCCATCTCTCCTGCTTCTTTTGTCACTCTTCCCAGATTTGGCAGCCTCAATATCAACAGCCAGAACTTGGAGGGGTGGCAAGAGATGCCAGTGGAGAGCCAGACTCTTCCACTGCCAAGAGCAGAATGGCCTTGGTAAATTGTGCCCTGTGGGAGATCTCACTTTTCATAGGGCAGGTGCAAAGCACTTTTGGCGGCTACTTTGAAACGTAGGTTTACTGCTTTTCTGGAAGAGTGCTATTGTATTTAAAAAGTAGCTAATCAGTTACAGTCTAGCCATCTATCAAACCTCACTTTGTTGTTTCTCTTGCTGGCTGGTAGCACCAAGGGAATCTACCAAGTACTTTGTCTAAGTTGTCCTATAAGAATACAACTTGGCAATGAGGGCAGCACAAGTTATACCATTATACCTTATAGACTTGGGTAAAGCACATTAATGCAGTTTGGTGGAAGAGCTGTTTGCCAGTGTATCAGACCAGCCTAGTAAAAGTTCCCCCATGGCAGTTTTCCTTTTGATATTTGTATGCA